CAAGGCTTTGAGCACTATATTCTGACTTTATCCAAATGGGCTAAACTTATCTACATTGCTTTGTGTGGCACTGCATAAGCAAGATACAGTCACTGGATGACTGCACCATCTGAACTTTATCCCTTGGAGCCAAGTGGAACCCAAAGGCACATTAGTAATCTTACAGACTCATATAGAGTGTCTCTGTGATAGACCAAGTCATTTAAAAGCTTGTATATGACTAAATGTAGGAAATCATGATGTTTAGAGGCATTGTGGGTGATCTGACACTAGTTGCAACACATCAACACATGCTATGAGAGGGTGTAAGTGAAGATGGCAATGGTGCCGCGGAATTATAAGAGGATTCCTACTTACAGTGCTGTATAAAATGTCGTTTTCCCCGGGTTCGGACAATTCGCTGAGATTTTTGTCCCATTGTAAAAACGGTTCCCCGCTACCCATTATTTCCATGCCTCGATCTGCGTCTGTAGTAAATCGCCACGCGCAGCTTCGCTTCAACGACTCCACAAACGACTATTTGTCAGCGTAACCGTCAAAACACTCGTCAGGTCACGATTCGGAGTTAATTTGGTGCTGTCAGCGCAATGTTAGGTATAAGTTGCGCGTCCGTCGCCAGTGTTATCGGAACTTTCCTCTCAGCTTCCTTGAGAAATGTCGCCCCTTCACAGGCGAGCAGGAATTTGGGGCGGGGAAATGATGGGAGTTGCAAAATTTGTTTACAAAGGACTGTTTGTGGACTGTGATACTTTCAGGAAACATTTCGGATGTTTCCAAGCAAATATTATTATATGCGCTTTTCAAGGAGTTTCTGTTTTGTTACGCTGTTTGTAAACACTACGCATATTCGCCTTAAAAATGCTAAACCTTTCTATCCAATGCCCCGCCCTTGGAATCCGTGTGGCGACCAATCAGATTGGCTGTTACGTTTAAAGCTCACTCAAAGCGTACGAAAATCAGGGAAGACGGACAGCCCGTCTGACCAATAGGAGAACGCTAATGTATGATTGACGTGAAACTGCCCCAATTAAAGGCGACTCCGCATAATCTCTTAACAAACCGTATAAAGCCAAGAGTACCAAACTCTGTGCACCGCCTCAAGTACTATGTCTGTGAATTTTTTTTTGCTGTGTTTAAATACCATGAAAAAGTAATCTTACTCTCATTTTAAAGGTGCATTTAAGATACTCTTAGTATATTCTGGAGGCTAAGAAAAACAGATTAAAAAATACAATTAAACGACTATAACACGATGGGTAAAATGCGCACAAACAAATGGACACGACTGAAAAACAAAAGTAAGAAATGAAACTACTGTTCTCTCAGTTTCAAAAGACATATAGACATGGATGGCATAAGTACTCAAAACAAATCCTTTACTGACAAACTATTACAACAAACTGGAAGTGATTTCTTCAAATATGATGCTTTTATTTTTTATAAGTCAAAAAAAAAAGAAAAGAAAAAAAAAAAAAAAGGAAATTTAGCATTTTTTTAATATATATACACAAAGAGAGTCCAATCCAGTTCATGGCTCTGGAAAGTGTTTACATGTCAAAGTGCATCTGTCAGCGCCCTCTGTCGGAAATAAGCCAGCATGACACAATCATACAAACAACATCACTTCTTATGTCTATGTATGACTGTTAAGGCTGGACAGAATGATACGCAGAGTTTAATGTCAGTGAGCAAAGTAACACTATATAAAATATCTTCTTTTGGTTCCTAAAGTCTGGGAACAAACTATTACATGACATTACAACAAACTGGAAGTGATTTCTTCAAATATGATGCTTTTATTTTTTATAAGTCAAAAAAAAAAGAAAAGAAAAAAAAAAAAAAAGGAAATTTAGCATTTTTTTAATATATATACACAAAGAGAGTCCAATCCAGTTCATGGCTCTGGAAAGTGTTTACATGTCAAAGTGCATCTGTCAGCGCCCTCTGTCGGAAATAAGCCAGCATGACACAATCATACAAACAACATCACTTCTTATGTCTATGTATGACTGTTAAGGCTGGACAGAATGATACGCAGAGTTTAATGTCAGTGAGCAAAGTAACACTATATAAAATATCTTCTTTTGGTTCCTAAAGTCTGGGAAGGCGTCTTCATTACTGGTCTCGCAGATTTTCACTTAAAAACACAATATTATCTGTGGAAAGAGACCAATGATATTTGGCAAATTTGAACTATTAAAGCAAAAACAAAACAAAAAATAAGCAGTTAAGACATTTATAGTCTGTTGTGAACTCTGACCTGCGATAATAGTTGTTGCCTGTCGCCTGACGTTGTTTTTATCCATGTACTCTCCATAGTCAAGCTTTCCTTCCACAAGAATCCGAGACCTGAAAATAATGTTGATTCTAGGTTAACAGCTGCATGATTTTTTTTTGTATCTATAAATCGCTCTAAAACAAATATGGAACACACACCCTTTCTTTACATACTGATACGCCACGTCTCTGAGGCCTGGTTTGAATACTGAGATTCTGTGCCATGTTGTTTTCTGGCTCACATCTCCTGCAAAAAAAAGAGAACAAAAACATTTGTTTGCGATCTTTTAATAAAGACAATATTTCAGATTTTTTTATTTTTTTTTGGACAATATATTTGCACCATGAAGACAATTTTCTTTGAAAAAAAAAGTCAATTTCTGTGAAAGCATATGGGAAAATCTAGAATTAGTTCGCTTGTTACTCACATACTTTAAAATTATCTTTTTGTTTAACAACTTTTTTTAATCATGTATCATATGTTCAAAGGGGTACACCGATTCAATTTTTTGGAAAATTTATATTTACTTTAATTTATCCAGAAAACAAAATAACCACAAAAATAAATAAATAGCCTCAAAAATAACATTAGTAAC